GTTGGTAGAGCAAAGGACTGTAGTTATTACCAAATCAGTATTCCTTAGGTCACCGGTTCGACCCCGGTACGGTAGAAAACTCTTTTGCCTTACAACCATGTAGCACGTTGTGAGTCCCAATCCCTCTCTTATTTTCAACACGCAATTGAAATTCGTTTTAATTATTTTAAGTTTCCAACCAGAAATAAAAAATCGCAACATATCTCAAAACCGAACTAAGCAGTAGCTAAGTTAACATGGTTGTCAACGTCGTTGTTGTTATGGTCAATATTTGCATGTTGTTCAACATTATTTAGCAAACCTCCTACATACATATATACTGTTACATGATGACCGAGTCAGATCATAAGAAAGCTTATCAAGAATACTTGAAGGAAAAAACGTTTAGAACAGTTGTAATATATTTTGCGATAAAAGTATGTTTTTATCAAATATGCTGTCGTTATATACGTTGTTATGTGTTGCTAAGTCATTAGGAGGCGTGTAGGTAATTAAGGGATTAAGGCAATACGAATTTGCATAACTAAGTGTACCCAATGGATAGATAGGGATTATTTATAACACAGGTGTATGCCTTAAAATCGGGCGCGAGGCTTTGCGGGCAAAAATTTAAACAAGATTTCAGTTTTAAAATACATTTATTTCTTCAAAACGTTTTACAAAATTTAGTACGGTCTACTTCTAAGAGCGTAACGTCTAGGTGTTTTTGTTATTTTTAAAGAGTTCTCATATTCTTGTCTATCTTCTGGGGATAACCTTGCAACATCTTCATCCTTCATTGGAATATATTTCGGCCTCTCGCGAAGTAATCTTTGTTCGTAACCTTCTCTTTGTTCAGGGGTCATCATTGCCAAATCTTGGGGCCTCCAATCTGTAGAGTCTACCCAATTGTGGAAAAAGTTGCGCTTGAGTTTTGGCCGTTCCTCTTCTGTTGGTGGTGGTGTAAGGAAATTAGGTTTAGGGGTAGCAGGCACTGGTGGTGCTATCTCGACAGGTTCATTGGGTTGTGGCATCTCTGCAGGCACGAATGGAGTTGTCTGAACAGGAGCTTGAGTCGGAACATCCATCTTATTTTTGAATGTCAAAAACCGATTTAGTTGATCAGAGTATAATTTGCTTTTTTCCACTGCGCTAAGCTGTGGTGCATCCATGATTTCTTTCATTCTCTGTTCGGCATCATACATTGCGTTTGCAAGTGGTGGTTGACGATACGACTGTTTGTGTAAAAACTTTGCAATCTCACCGGGAAGTACGTTTGTCTTGAGTCGATCTTGGTCACTCGTTGTCGGCTTTAAATCCAACATCAAATATCCGTGAGGGCGGCTCGTAGCATTTTCATAACTCCTCATAAACTCTTGTACTTTGCCGGGAATTATTTGCCTTGCAAGTATAGAAATTTGTTGTTTATCTCTTGGTGACTTGAACAATACGATATAATGCACGTTTAGACTAATATTTCTCATTTCTTTGCCCTGATGAAATATATTTTGGACAATATAGATGACAGACAAATTTCGATGATGACTTCCTTTCGTAAAAAGATCAGAAATACGTTTATCTTTGCCAGATTGAGCCATAAGATCATCCAATACGATCAAATTCCGTTGCGATACGTCCAAGTAATCTGCATTGTCGATATCGTCGGGGATGCCTTCATTAAACTCGATTCCAGGCATTATCCTCATCATATCAAAATAGGACGGTTGCCATTGACCATAACACCAAATGATACGTTGAGGAGTAGGACTTATAGTCGTTTGAACATTCTCCAAGAGAGATTTCACCCATACGGTTTTGCCGCTTTGGGTACATCCTGCAACGATGCACGTAAAGGGATGCTGCATGACTGTAACCCCATTCACCGTAAGAGTTTGCTGCCCAAGATTACGAGTTCCATATGCATGGACAACCTTCTTTTGGCGAAGGAGATTACTCGCATTTGCAAACGTTTTACCGCAGATGTCGCATTCATAAGAGGTGTATTTATCCCGCTGGTTATTGTCACGACTATGAAGACTATAGTAAAGACTATGAAGATTATAGTCATGACTACGAAGACTATAGTAAAGACTATTAAGACTATATTAAAGACTATGAAGACTATAGTCATGACTATGGTGAAGACTATTAAGACTATAGTAAAGACTATGAAGACTATAGTCATGACTACGAAAACTATAGTAAAGACTATGAAGACTATAGTAAAGACTATGAAAGACTATAGTCCTGACTATGAAAGACTATAGTCCTGACTATGAAAAAATATAGTCCTGACTATGAAAGACTATAGTCCTGACTATGAAAGACTAGTCCTGACTATGAAAGACTATAGTCCTGACTATGACAGACTATAGTCCTGACTATTAAAGACTATAGTCCTGACTATGAAAGACTATAGTCCTGACTATGAAAGACTATAGTCCTGACTATGAAAGACTATAGTCCTAACTATGAAAGACTATAGTCCTAACTATGAAAGACTATAGTAAAGACTATGAAAGACTATAGTCCTGACTGTGAAAGACTATAGTCCTAACTATGAAAGACTATAGTCCTGACTATGAAAGACTATAGTCCTGACTATGAAAGACTATAGTCATGACTACGAAGACTATAATAAAGACTATGAAAGACTATAGACCTGACTATGAAAGACTATAGTAAAGACTATGAAAGACTATAGTAAAGACTATGAAAGACTATAGTCCTGACTATGAAAGACTATAGTCTAACTATGAAAGACTATAGTCCTGACTATGAAAGACTATAGTCCTGACTATGAAAGACTATAGTAAAGACTATGAAAGACTATAGTCCTGACTATGAAAGACTATAGTAAAGACTATGAAAGACTATAGTCCTGACTATGAAAGACTATAGTAAAGACTATGAAAGACTATAGTCCTGACTATGAAAGACTATAGTCCTGACTATGAAAGACAATAGTAAAGACTATGAAAGACTATAGTAAAGACTATGGAAGACTATAGTAAAGACTATGAAGACTATTGTCTAGACCTAATCTATAGAGGGCGAGCCGATCCTTGTATATGTGTTATTTCCAACTAAATCTTCATTTCGTTGCTGACCGCCGAACAGAGATGACTAGCAGTTATATGAAACACAGACCATTTGTAGAACTCTTATGTACTTCTCATCCAACTCAACAGCAAGCTCTTCTTAATTCTACATCAGCTGAGCAAATTCGATGCTTGTGTCATTGTATAGAAAATTTCACATACTCTAAAGAAACAAAGGACAAACTCAGACCTTTCGAACAAGATCTAGCTGATTTAGCAGACAGAGATAGAAATTTTAAGACGAAAAAGGAAATTCTTGTTCAGCGGGAAAGCGGCTGGGATTGGTACTTGGACCACTTTTAGAAGGCCTTGCAGAATTAATATAAAATAAAAAGTATGAAGGACATCTCCTCATTCCAATCATGGATAGCGACAAACGATCATCTCCTGAACAGTGGAGACTTGAAGACATTCTCAAATATCTTGACGTTGATGATGAACACGAAGCCGAAGAAATCCTTCATTCTATTTTAACCTCTACGGGGATTTTAACTTAGAATGGAAAAGGAGAAATCGTTTACAGAGGACATAATATACAAGGTACTGACATTGTAGACCTTCTGAAATATTGCGTGACGCCTTATCATCCAGATATTCCCGAACCAACTGGATTGAGCATTTTTATAAAAGGTCTTGCAGAATTGGAAATTGATAAAAGCCTAATCTTAAATGTACATGTCCTTTCTGTGTTAGCCCACAAGTGGTCCCGTCAGGATACACAATCTGATGCTGACGCAACTTGTAACAGTTGTAACAAAGATATATACATCTCACATTTGAGTACGTGCCCCGTATGCACATGGACAGATTTTTATCCGAAGTGTAAAAACTGTCGCTGTATGATCTGTGATTTTCAAGTGTCCAAAGGAGATTTTACACATGTAATCACCAGCTGCCCACATTGTCGCCGAGGTGAAATTATAGATATCAGAACGGATGAAAGGCAGTCCTTTAACCATAAAATAAGCGACCAAAGTGATATTTGATTAGTTGACTGCGTGAAGTTGAACTGAACACATCAACATGCCGGGAGGCACACTTGTTGTAGACGAAAAACTACTAAGAGACCATTTCTTGAGACAGCAGCGTGGCGGAAACATCGCTGGGTATCGTGGTGCACGTTTTCAAAGAGGATACGGGATCGGAAGTATTTTCAAGAGCCTTGCGAGATATGCTATCCCTCTGTTTAAACAAGGCGCTAAAGTTGTTGGCAAAAGAGCATTGCAAGCAGCCACAGAAGTGGGTCAAGATGTACTCCAAGGAAAAAATGTAAAAGAATCTGTAAAGACTCACGGAGGTGACGTTTTTAAAGACTTTGCCGAAAAAGGAGCAAAAGCCCTACTACAACAAGCAGGGCGCGGAAGCAAGAGAAGGCAGGGCCAACGAAGTAATTTATCAACTACAAATAGGTTAAAACTGTGTTCTCATATAACAGTCCCAAGACATACCAAATGGATTACGGAAGATGAAAGCGGCCACGATGATGAAAGCAGCTATGATGAAGAATCTGACAGCGAAACCCCTGAAACAAGTGACGATATATATTAGAAACATAATTTTGTAAAACGTTTTGAAGAAACAAATTTAAAAACTGAAATATTGTGTAAATTTTTGCCGGCAAAGCCCGCTCTTTCCGCCCGCGCGATCCGCCCACCTGATTAGTGTACAAATACGTTGTACTCGATTATTTTTATCAGGTTTTCAAACACAAACATCAGTGAAACAACATGAAAACAGCATGAAATGTAAACGTTAGGATTTCAAAGTCTTTCTTTCTTAAATGTTAGGATTTCAAAGTCTTTCTCCAGGCAATGTTTTAAAACCGAGGTTGCGAGTAATTAACATTGTCAATATACACATCAAATCACCACAATCAATATACTATATACGGTATAAAAAATTGAATTTCATACCTTCGTTGACGACAGTAGAAGCTCCTGAAAAGGAGAAAAATGTATTAGTGGTGTTTAACAACCATAGCAACGGAAAACACACAAATGCTTACCTTCGTTAACGCGTGTCGACGGTCTCTCTAAAAAGAGAAAAAATATCTGTATAAATACAAAGTCAGCAATCGAAATATTTTCATCTATACATACCTGGTTCATCAGTTCTTTGTCTCTTCGTTCGCCGGGTCGGCGTCTTCGTACGTTTCCCACGACCAACTTGATGGACTTCGCGTTGATGGGCTTGTAATGGAAATATATTTCGGAATACTTCACCACATACATTACAAGTATATTCCCGTTCCGCGCCACGGCGCTCGTGCATTTTCATATGCCTATTCAGTTTGTCCTTGAAAAATAATAAATAAGCATAATAGTTTAAAATACATCGCAGTTAGAATATAAACTGTCGGTACTACATACCTTTCGAGCAAATTTCTTGTGGCATCTATGGCATTCGTATACTTTTTCCTTGCTATGGACTTTCTCGTGACGTTTCAACATATCTTTCCTAGCAAAGGATTTGTCACAATGGTTGCAAGAAAAAGCTCTTTCTCCAGTGTGTACACGTTTTGTATGGCGCTTTAGGTCGCTGGATCGTGTAAATGTTTTGCCACATTCATCACAGCTATGTCCAGGGTTTTCGTCTCGTCGCCAAAAATTCCATTCAGCCAAAATCTGCTCCTGCGTCTCCGACGACCAGGACTCGAACATTTCATCTGCAGCAACGTCGCAAAGCTGGCGATTGACATTGTCATTTTCCAGTTCGCTCATAAATTGATCTCTCCTACAAAATATAGAAGTCGATTACATACACAAAACTCTCGATATTATATTAATTTTCAGTTTAAATTAAACTTACCAAATATTCTCTCGATGTTGCTGGGCCATTCTTTCTCAAGTACTTCTCTCCAAAGAAATATTTAACAAAATCAGCTACCCAAAAGACCTCCGAGAATAAGAGCGTTGTCAAATGCAAAACTATGCTTGTTACAAGACGCTTGTCGATTTTATACAGACGCTCGTTAAATCAAACAACCAATCATAGTAAGCCAACATTAATCCCTCAATTGTATCATAAACGTGGGGGACGCTAAAAAATGCGTAGTCACCAAGTTTCGCCCGATCGTGTTTAAGCTCGCCCGCGTGACGTCATTGCATGTAATTATGACGTATGCTAATGGTGATGCGCCGCCCCGCACCGCCCCATTCCGCCCCACGCCGCCCCACGCCGCCCCAAAAATCCGGGTCGAACGGCCTCTATATTACTACTCCCATATTTCTTATTTTAACTCTTGCCGTGTCTTTCGTTTCAAATGTTGATATTCGAATGAGAACTTCCAATATTCAAAAACCTCCGGGGGGAGGGGGATCCGCCCATCACACATATATCAGGGGCGTCGTTGCCATTTCCGCGCCCGTATTTTATAGCGTCCTGGTTCACCCGATCAATTTTACAGTGTTCGTCACAAGCAGGATACGGAAATATTTTATACTTGGATGTGCATTGATCTTTATGAGCCCAAAATTATATTTCGGTCACTGTTTCAAAAAAAAATAACCGACAACTTTTTAAATATCTACGCATTGTGTCTCTTCACCCATAGGAAGAAGTTTATATTCCTAATCCTGCTTTGGACTTCACCAGAATTATCGTCAATGAGATCAAAAAGTAATCCCAAATGGCGAAATTGTTTCGGTTAGAGTATTTCGAAAACTATATGCCAGATACAAGAATTCGGGAGGGAAATTTTATTCATAATTTCAAAAGTGCAATGAAATGAGACAAGCTTAATTTTTATTGCCATATTCCTAAATTTACATTTTTACAAGGGGATACACACTTCATTTTAAACATTGACTTATTTTTCATAAAATCTTTCCGAACGATTTTGCAATGTTGGTTGCCATCCTAGTCGAACAAACCCTGAAGCCTGCATGACGATACTCACCTTCAAAATTGTTTTCCGCCATATTTTCTGCAAAAGAAGTTATAGTACACTTTAACGGGCGTGGTGGCCGACAGTAAATACAGTAAGACTCGGGAACATATTCGTTCGTGAGAATTTTTGATGGGGTTATACAGGGTATCTAAAAAAACGCAATGGAAATTCAATAGGCTGTCGTGCATCATAAACGTGGCCAAACAATTCCATTTTTACAAAGGACGAAAAACAGTTATTTTGCTTTTCAATGATAATCTTTTTAAATCGTAACGAAGAGAAATGGCCACATACTCGTCAAATAGAAATTGAAGGTCGAAGTCAACACCGTGGAAAAACGTCTGCGCATGCGTGGGGACAAAAAAGATGGCGAGGAATTTAAACGCCAAATTGTAATACAAAAACATGGCTATTTAATTATTTAAGGTAATTGAAGTAGACAAAAAAAAACTAGATGGGTAGTTTATACATTAATAAAAAGCTTTCTAACATTTAAAATCTAAAAGAAACAGAATTTAAATTAAAAATTACAGTTTAAGACCGGGAAGCGTGTGAACATTTCTTGAAAAATTGTCGAATACCGAACTTAAGACACAAACGTTAAGAAAACTATCGAATATATTGTTAAGCATTTGCACACGATGAAATTGTGGAATAAATCATTAGCATTAAATTAAATAATTATTGGCAACGCAAAAATCATACATGCTACGCCAAAGCGTTATTGACAAAAATGTGGATCATGTGAAACTACGAAAAATGTATCTTTGTTAAAGAACATTTTATGCAATAAATTTATCGACAAGTAAGTAAGTAACAAACCATTCATTTGTGCTATCTAAAAGGGCGGATGCTGTTGAGTGACTACGTCTAAAACCGAATTGATGTTGGGATAGTAAGTTATTTGTAACAAGATAATCGTGTAACTGTTCGTATAATACTTTTTCGAAAAGTTTACTTACAACAGGAAGAATGGATATAGGGCGATAATTATTTAACAGGTTTCGAGGGCCTTTTTTATGTAAAGGTGTAACTCTCGCTGCTTTCCATTCAGATGGAACGGATTCACTGGTGATTGCCCTATTAAAAATTTTTGCCAAGGAATTTGCAATTACTGGGGAAGCAATACGACTAATTTTAGCTGGAATTTTGTCAATACCGGTAGATTTACCGGGATTTAGAGACAAAAGAAGTCTATGAACTTTCGATTCAGATACAGCTTGGAACTTAAAATTGCTAGTTACTCTAGTTATGTAATCCGTGAAATTTCTGTCACCTTTATCGATCGTTTTTGCAATATCTGGGCCAATATTAGTAAAATAATCATTGAAGCTTTCCGCTAACTCATTTGGATCGGTTATCTCTCCATTCTGAGTTTTGACATTTCAGACATCTTCGGTTTATTTTCTTGCATGATACTATTTCTTCCACATGTACACTGTAATTATTTCTAGTTTTAGGTTGTCACGTTAATTATTCAACTCGTATTTTCAAAGAAAATGCAAAACATCGAAGTCGTTCCTTGTCGCTTCCATTTTTAGTTTTTTACAACTTTCGGAACACTTATAGACATTTGACACCACGTTCGCAAGGCAGATTTCAGTAATGTGACGCATGCGCAGACGTTTTCCGCGGTGTTGTCGAAATCACATTTCTTCCACCTTTGGGAATTGCATGGAAAACGAACATAGCCAGTTCCCAATAGGGAATTAAAATTGATAGTTATATTATCTAAAATGAGCTCAACTCGTCAATCTTCGTCTTAGTGAGACAATAAAACGTCCATTAAACATGGTTCAATTAACCACTGAACAGAGAACATTCGGAATCAAAACGTTTTAAGAAACAAACAGCTCGTCCCATGCTCTCGTTGCTTTTGGATTGATTAACTTTGCATAATTAATGTATTTTCAATTCTCAACGGTGGAACTGGGGACATAATTTCGACCGGCAAATTTTATTTGACGAGTATGTCGCCATTTCTACTCATCGTTACGGTTTAAAAAGGTATCACAGAAAAGCTAAATAACAGCTCTTTTCTCATGTAAAAATTGAATTTTTAGCCAAGTTTATGATGCACAACAGCCTTTTGAATTTCCATTGCGTTTTTTTAGACACCCTGTACATAGGGCGTGCGGAGGGGGGGGGGGAGGGTTGTATACAGGGGAGGGCTTACATATATGCGGACGACTTTTTATGTTATATATATTAAGTAATAGTATTTATTACACCTGTAAACTACATCATGAACGAAAAGTAATATAACCGTACATTATATATAACACGTAATAAATAGTGAAAGTTGGTTAACATATTATCCCCGAGCTATCCCCGAGGGTACTAATTCCGCCCAGCCATTCTCCCCCGGAGAACAGAAAGCATTAGCGAAGTCTAAAGTTCATCAATGATCACGGTTTACTGTGCGTGGGTGGTCATCCTCACTGAACTCATAATATAGCGGATTCTCATGAATAGCGACAGGGACGCCGGAACGATGTGAAGGCAAGGGGGGCAGATTTGTGTGAAAGGGCACTTTTGAAATGATATATACTAAGAGATGTTTACAAAACATCGGGAGTTGAACTTAGTCTAATCATGTTTTCTATTTATTGGATGATAGGGGTGTGAAGGGGTTCTCCACCAGGCGATTGTGCTATTCTTGAAGCTCGATAACTGCATTTCTTGCATTTTCTGAAGCAAATTCGTAAAATAATTGCACTAACATTTCTAGTGACAATTCGCTATTTCGCCAAGGCAATCCTTTAAATTGAAAGGTCCCCTTTGCCCCCATGTCCCTCCTGGTAAAGGGCAACGGGGGCGGCTGCCCCTCCTGCCCCCCAGTTCCGGTGTGCCTGAATAGCGAATACCGATTGGTCCAATTTAAAACGATTATTTGCACTATAACGACTGCATGATAGTGATATTTTTAGGGGATATTTCATTTGTAAAAATATTTATAAAAAATCTCGTGTTACCATGACAACTACTTTAAACTTCATGTTCGGAAAATACAATGGTTTTGTCAGCAAAGGGAGGTTTCTGCATACATGTACTTTCTAGTAATCCTGTAATGTAATTATATTCGTAATGGTCTGGGCGTGGGTGAATATATATAGTAGGCTAATTGACGGCGCGCTTATATTTGGGTAGTCTTATATTCGCAGATTAACGCCGTACTTTTCGGGCTAAAATTAATACATGTTAGCTAGCCCACCGGATTTGACATTGTTTAGATGCAAGCAAACGTTTTCAGCAATGTTTTAGCATTCTCTGTGTAAATGTTTTGTTTTTTTACTTTTCATCGACGAAATGATTGTAAAATAGAAACTTTACACAATTTCGTGCATGAACGCTGAGTTTTGTTATTTAATTTTATTTACGGAAGCATTTGTTGCATTTTTTAAACGTAGCGATGTACAAAATTTCAAAGAAGTGATGGCAAAAATTGTCCTAAATATTGTCCGTCATCTTGTTTGCGTGATCGCCACGCGTGATTTTCGCGAATCACATTATCCGGGTGATATGATCAAACACCCGTACGACGGATATGACTGAAATGATACCTGGCATAAAATATTTCATTCAATTGCTTCCGATGTAAATATCTCAAAGAGTATTTACCCCCCTTGAAAACGGAAACCACCGTTGAAATCCTCATAAAATAACCTTTCGAACGGGGTGTCAAATGCCGTTATAACATTACACAAACCACAGGCGGCCCAATCTCCAAATGGTCTATATATTTTGAATATTTATACGGAATATTTAACGGTTATAATATTTAATAACGAAATAATTCAAAAAATATTAGCAGTATATGTAAAAAATATATCTATAAAGGACTAACTTGTTAATAGAATGCATTTGTTGTGTTACTGAGTTTATTTGATACGATTGCTTTACGTTTTCGTTGTACTTGAACGGTCGTCAGTACTGGCACTGGCTACATAGGACATAAATAACTACAAGGCTAGCCACTTATCTGATATACCCTCCGACATCGAGTCCAATTTCTCACCTCAGAATCGTTGCGGAGCAATACATTTCACATCGCCGAATAGTACGAACGTTCCTCTTTCGAAAGAACTTGGTTGGTTCACCATTGCGGCAATTCTCGTGGCACAAGACGAACTTTGTTTGTCCAAAATCCAAAATTCCATTTTCGAAAGAGGCGCTAACCCCATGATCGTTGCCACGAGAGCAGCTCAGCAACCTAGACTCCTCGTTTGAAAACAATCCGCCAGGGGGGGAGGATCTGCACTGGATTGAGGGGGCTTTCAAAACAAGACGATAAAAAAACACGATATAAATAATAAGACATACGGTTGAAGTGTTGAACGAAGTCAAGTTCGATACTTTAAAAAGATTGGTATGATTGTTAAAAGCTAAATGTTATCATATTAAGTAAATAACGTTTTTGTTCTAAAAAATATGTAAGGAAAAGTTCATATTAAACAAGATATATTTCTAATGTTTCTCGCGCGTCTAAAAATAGGGCTGATTTTCAAAACTTGTTTATTGTTTCTTGTTTCTTGTCGAATACCGATGATAAAGTAATCATTTCTATTTATATCGTGTTGTTTTAAAAGCCCCCGCATTCCAGTGCAGATCCTCCCCCCCCCCCCTGGCGGATTGTTTTCAAACGAGGAGGCCAGGTTGCTGAACCGCTCTCGTGGCAACGATCATGGGGTTAGCGCCTCTTTCGAAAATGGAATTTTGGATTTTGGACAAACAAAGTTCGTCTTGTGCCACGAGAATTGCCGCAATGGTGAACAAACCAAGTTCTTTCGAAAGAGGAACGGCCCCCCAGCTGGCAATTCTTGGGGGGGGGGGCGCAAAAATGAAAAGAGGGCGCCGATCCCACGCAGAATTTTGAAAGTGGGTGGGAAAAAACGCATTCGAAAAAATATAGTTACTTCCGCCAAGAAAAGATGTGTTTATAGGCTTATAAACAGACTAAGCGCATAGGCGACAAAGTCATATATTAAATTACAGAGTACAGACTATTTCGTCTAACCGTATTTGCTATACCTCACAGCTCACACGAAATCGTTCATATAGAAACATGACCAGTGATCACACGCAATGTCTCATGACCGGAATATTGGTCATGTTTCGAAGCGATTACGGGAATTATGCCCTTTTTTGCTGGTATTATGCCCTTATAATATGCCCTTTAAATTATGCAATCCTAACTACTTCCAGCGATTAATCTAATCCCAATTCTATTCTCTATTTATCTGAATACATTTACAACTTACAGCTCTTTTATACAATAACACACGGACCCTTCCCATATGCATTTTAAGCAGTGGCGAAGCTGAGGGAATTCGACTAGTCATGCTCTAAGACCCGCACAGGGTAGGGGGGTCCGGGGGCATGCACCCCCGGGAAAATTTTGATTTTCGAAGTCTGGAATGGCCATTTCCTGCGATTTCAGGGTGAAATTCATGCAAAGAAAGCTACAAAAAAGTGTGATATAAAGAGGAAAATTCTTAATACTTTTTGTTTTTGAAATTTGTATTTCCACAAAATTTAATTTTATTTCACTATATATTTAAACTTATCTGCAAATGACGCTCAATATAGCCAATATTGGCAGAAGAAAGAGGATAATATTGTATGTGTACATTTTAATACCCTGCTGAGTGCTGTAAAATGATCTTTCATTTGGAATTGCGTAAAGGTCAACTGTAATGTACAGTGTCTACAAGGACCTTGTAAATCTGAAGCAGAAACCTAATGTTGAAAGATACTTTGTTTAGATATTTGGTATATCTGTAAACCTCAAAATATATAAGCACTCGTGAATAAAGCAAATGAACTGGTAGTAAATATATTTATATCAATAGGAAAGGCCTTCACAAATCTTGTTTATATTCGCCATTATAATACAGTAGAATACACAATCGAGTCTGTTCACGTGCATTTCGTGAACTAAAATATCTTGTTAGAAGCCAAAAGGCCTTCCTACTATTCACTCGATTGACGTTGGTCAATTTCCATAGATACATAACCAAGATCACTTGAATAAATCTCGATAGAATTGCTGAATAATTTACGGCATTTAACTTGGTCGTGCTTTCGAAGATGAGCACGACCAGAAGATAAAATTCGGCGAGATACGCATGCGCGAGGAGCAATTTAGCCAATAGAATGCGTTGGAATTGATAATTTAGTCGTGCTGGCCTGACGAGAGCACGACTAACGGGCGGGTTACCCATTAGTCGTGCTATTAACCTGCGGTCGGGTGAAACTGCGCAATCATACCTTGAATTGGTTTAAAATCATGGCAAAATCACCGGATTTGAAGGGATTTCGCACTTAATAGATGACGCAAGTGTACGACGAATCATTTTTAAAATTTTAGGGGAATTTTTTTTAAGACTAAAAAATTATTTTCTTTGAAAAAATTTTACTCGTGCTCAGCACGACTAGCACGACCTCTAGCTTCGCCACTGATTTTAAGGTTTCCTTGCCTGGCTGCCATAATGGCGCGTTTCAGCATTATTTTATTACTTACATTACTCATGATGTTTCTTGCGCAAACAACGTGTTTTGGTTTGTTTACGTCATTAAGCGCACGTGGGACGGCACATGCGGGAGAAAAATGGAAAATTCGGCGGGAAGCGCCTGGCAGAATTCGCATTCAATATGGCGGGTCAGCGTTCTGCAACTGTTCTGTATTATTTATATTATTGAAATGACATTGTTTACAGCAAAATACGGATTTGTACATTGCCAGTACTCTTTGGAGTGCAATATTTAACTTAAACTTTTAATAGTTTGCTTTGTTCATACTGTTTTAATATTAACTATGCAGTCACTACAGCTAGTGTCATGATTTTGTTGTTTTTGTTCAATATCAGTTCTATATCACGCATTGTATTTATCGTATTAACCTCAAAATTTGTAGATGAGATACAAAATTTGATTTATTTGTCAAGATTTGTATAATTTAGAGCCATATGGTTCGAATGTAGCCATATATAGGTATATTTTGACCTTGGCTAGGCCAGGTGTTGGCGTGTGGATATATCGCTTTTTATTACTTGCCAATTCATGTTATATTTGCAAATCACTGGTTATTTTGAACCTAGTTATATTTCTCGTCATTTTAATCCAGTATATTAAACGTAAATGATTGTACTACACTCTACAGGACGACACGAATATATCTATTGTTGTGACTGTTTACAAATATAAACTGTTTGCCGCCACCTATACTCCTATAGGCCCCCCCCCCCCTTTCTTTGAGAGTTTGAGCCTCTTGAGATCGGTATTCTGATGCCTTTCATCATATTGCAATGCCATTTCTGTGACTTATTCAATCCATAAAGCGACTGAATCAACGAAGGCTACGTAGATTCACTTCAAAACGAATTTACACTAGGCTGTTTGATAATATAATTATATAGTATTTAATATTTTAATATACCCGACTTTGTGTAGTTTAAATAAGCACGATATTCGCGCAAATTTACATTCAACAGTTATTCTTTTGAAAGATTCATCAATGTCATACAGTTTTCAATGAAAAGTGGTATTTCAAACCTCTAAAAATCCAGTTTATTGAGTCCGCTCCAGAAATCGCAACCCGCTCCAGAAATCGAAACGGATTCTGCCAGGCGCCTCACCATGAAATCGATCAAATTAATCCACGCGGCCCACGCAAAGCCGCGCAAGCCCAGAACAACACATAGCGCATGGGCACGAGGCTGCGCAAACAACTAAATTGCGTACACAACTTTACATCAGTTATCATAACTTCAAATCTCTAATTTGCGCCCCTCTCGTGATTGGTGAAGCATAATAAATACTACAACTAAATTCTAACCAAATTGCAAATTTCTACACGTTATAATCCGTTTCCTGACCATCAGATTTCTGCCAAATCTTCCCCCCAAAGTCCAGGAAATGGCATTTCAGAGACTCTAAATTCAAAAATTTCCCTGGGGTCATGCCCCCAGACCCGCGTGCCCCCCGACCCTGCGGCGCTCGGCTCGTGCCTTCGGCCCTCGTCTATCAAGCGTAACATTATATATAGGGACGCATATAGGTTGACAGCCCACTGGCCACTCCAGAAAAATAGTACCCAGCACGCCACTGTTTTTCGGGAATATTGTGTAATCTAGTGAAATATGACACCGCTTGCCCTCTAAAGGTCGTATCTATCGATAGGAATTTTTTCACTGAATCGAATGGTGTTATTTTCATCTATATAGCATGCACTGGACCGAAAATATGAACCTGCAAAATACCAGGTCGGTTTCGACCTGGTTATTTCAGCACCAAACGAAAAAGAATTATGACGATTCCCTTTATTACGTCTTCGTAGCGCTATGCATTGTGGTTATTGTGGTATCACTGATATTCAATTGGATGGCTTATTTTTTGTTCTGACCCGTGCAAGAACTTTTCAAAAAAGTTAGGGTCAGGTGCGCGATAGCCAACAGCAAAATATTCGCGAAAACATTCCATATTTTCATTCGAGGCCGCTATCTTTATCGTTGATACAACTATAACCACAATGCAAAGCGCTACGAAAACGTAATAAGGTGAATCTAGAATTAAAAGCCGGAATCGCGGTGACGAATTGAATGCGGAATAACTTGGGGATATTTTGATACAATTGTCTCATTTTGCATTTCAAATCCGCCTTTGACTTTCACCGACCCATTGTTCATTGGCAATCGTTGCTCAAAATTAAATCGCTCGTAACTTCAGCAATCAGCAACGATTGGGAGAAGTTAAGCGTTGAGCCGTCGCAAAACATGATAAACGAGCAATTTTCCTTCAGACAATGCAACGATTATACCACTATCGCATTGTGTTGACGGAAAACACTGTATCGCCCAAGTACTTTGCTTATTGCACGCATAAAGCATGATTATAGGTTCTCAGTAATTCATTTATTTATTATTGATCTAATTTTTAACGGTAACCCTTCCAGACAGCTATACAATCGTGTACAAAACTGTTAATAAAATGCATCGAAATTTTAGGAATGCATTCAAACAACTTCATTAGGTTTTCCCCTTTCCCGCACCCAATGATGCCATTATTTTTCCCACACCAGGAACACAAATTTTCCACACATTTTAAATATACGTAGTTCAACAACATTGTGTTGGGGAGGGATGTTTTAGGGAAGATAGAGGAATCAAACTACAATTCAAATTAACTGCACAGAGGAAAATTATTAACAAGTTCTGTCTTCAATTGTAGATACATGCATTTCAAGGGCCGTTACACGTATCCAAAACAACATCACACATTACTCGACCAAAGGTGTGGTAGGTCATCATTCATACAACTGAGAAAATGTTCAAGGATATGTCTACTTTTATTTCAAACTTAATTACTCACAATTTTCGAATTCTTCACACCGCTATCTCCCGCACAACTAACTTCCACTTGTTGCTTGAAGCATTGCGTATTAATTTCCATTCACTCCTGCAGTTTAAATTCTGGTCTCAAATCTACAGTAGCAAGGAATTTGTGGGGTTTTTTTTCACAATCCTCTTTACACCCGCATGCTTTCACACTTTTCACTCCGCATGTATAAATGACCTTGTGCATATTGTATCTTAAAAGTTAGTCCGATGAGGATTTTGAAATAAAATGGAAATTATACTACAAATATAAACTAAAGACTATTAGGCCTATAGTTATCCTATACATTCTCCTCTTATAATGACAAACGCAACCAATAAACTGTTACCTAGCGTAGATGGTTGTAAGATTAGTGTACCAGTTATCAACATTATAAGCACCGCAACCCTTCTGTGTTATGTTTGTGGTAGAATAACCATGTGTGTATATAACGCGTTCCAAAGAATTTTGAACAATTCCAAACTTCGAATTTTGACTCAAATTTGCAATATTTTGCGGAAATTTCTCATTTTTCTGCCAAAATAGGGTATAATTGCCAAGTCAACGTAATTTTGCCCCAAATTTCAAAGAAAAAGGCGATTTCCTGCGAACTTGTGTCGAAATTGTATTGATATATAATCTTGATTTTCGCTGACAGCAATTCTTCTGGCTTACATTTTTGTTATTTTTCTATAATTTGTGCTGAGTGTGTTCAGTCTACTTCCAAAATCAATTAAAATTGAAGGAATTGGTAGAAAAAAGCTTATTTTTAATGTTTTTAGCTAATTTTCGCCGAATATTCTGATAAGTGTTCATTTTACCGCACAATACCAAACTTTTAAACAAAAAAAATGAACTGTCTGCTAAAATGCATGTGCAATAGAATAACTGGTGTAATATATAGGGGTGCCTTAATTTCAGACTCCTCTATCGCTGGAAATTGAATAAACGATCATGCAAGATATAGTTATATGAGTGTCTGAAATTCAAACACCCATATAGCTCGCAATAGAGCCTTATATTCTATTGCGAGTTATATGAGTGTCTGAAATTCAGACACACTATATACGGGTGTCCGAATTTCGGACACTCTTATATTATATTGCGCGCGAGTTATATGGGTGTCTGAATTTCAGACAGCCATATA